GTGAGGAGTCCCTCCACAACTGTCTTGCTTCTCTTCCTTAGCGGGACCTGCTTTTGGGTGGCGGGAGCATCGCAGCGGTACGCAAGGAGGTCCATCAGTTCAGAACAGGCTTGATGATTAGTCTGAGACGAAGAGCACGAGAGACGTGTGTGAACACATGCTGGGAATGGACCATGGCTTCCATTTAAGCCACTTCCCACACAGACAAGAGCCCTAAGCACACGCATCCAGTGCTGTCCTGATACGGCACAGCACGCCCTGCGCTGCAGCGCAATCAGGGGCCGGAGAGGGCTTGCCACCCCAATCAAGGCTGTGAACCCAAATTACAACGGACTGTCCTGGTCCCAAGTTCTTGGGAGCAAGGACAGATGGTAGGGCACCTCACTTCCCCACCAGGACCAATGGCTAGCTGATGAAGGACCCTGCTTCACTTTCCCCCTACCACTGTGGGATGAAATTGGTAAGCAACTGCTACCAGGACGCAGGCTGCCGGGTACACGAGACAGAAGGAGGACGCGATGACCTCCGCGCCACGCTGCTGTGCATGCAAGGGCTTTGCTGGAGAGCATTTGCATGGAGACTCCAGCACGCAGCTTGCTTCTGCCCAGGAAAGGCTGCCAAACTCTTCCCACATGGCACATCCTCCCTACTTACATTTCACATAATCACCTGCTTAGGAAGGCCTGTAATGCTCGATGTAATGCTGAGCATTACAACCCAATAATATATTTATTAATTTGTAACGCAGAGCGCCACTGACGGTCCCCGAAGCCTTCCTGGGAACGCGTGTCAGCTTATTGATTCCAACCCACCCCGGCTCGCTTTGCTCTCACCCTTCTGCCAGGCCGGCGAGAGAGTACTTCTGCGCTGCTTCGGGTCATAATTGAAAAAGACAGAAATGTTCAATATGACTCATACATAATTCAGCTTATCAGCTGCCCAGGAGAAAAGAGAAGGAGAGGTGTTCACATGTCTACCTCTTCCCCTATCAACAGGAGAAATAATTTTCAATTACACAAAGTGCACGCAGCTCTGCTCACAAACAGGATTTGTGCGTTCGGAGGAGAAAAACAGAGATATGGAAGGAGGGAACGAAGGATGCAACAGGAAGCAAACGGCTACCGAACGCGCGCTCCCGAGAGGTCCCTGGCTCTGAGGGGAAGAGACGAGGCTCTGGCCAAACGGAGGAAGTTAGCAATCAGGAGCAATATGCCACTGAGCCACAACACGCAGCAGAAACCTAAATCAAACAAAGCTCCAGATTAGTCTGCTACACAGACATCATAGCAGCCAGCTAAAACCCTGACGGCGCGTTTGTGAACTTCTGGCTTCCACGCTAAGGTTTGGGTTCGAAAGATCAGATTGTAAAGAAGCACTGAAAGTTATCGTTACAAAGGATTTTAATGTAAAATCAATAAGTGCTGTGTATTTAGCAGCATGTGACTATGAGAGCGTCTATGATAGACAGAGCTCTGCTTGCACCAGGGATCTTTGCATTAGTCAAGTCCTTGAAAGGGAAGGCGGTAGGTCTGCACCACTAAGCATTTCCACCTGACAGCAATCAGAAGTTACTTTAACCCCTGCCATCAGGCAGAAACACTAAACCCCACTGATAACCCTGAAAAAACAGGGTTTAATGAAAACAAGCCGCTTCCAGCAGCTGGGTGGAGTTCTGGTTGGGGAAGAAGCAGCAGAGGAAGCAGAGGAGGAGGAGGAAGAGTCTGGGCCTTGCAGTGCTCTCGGGACGGCTGGGGAACGCAGCCTCGGCCCGCGGCATCCATCTCCACGCCACCCGAGCAGAGAGGAGTGGGTCCCGTGGAAAGGTCAGCTCCCGCAGGCAGACGCAGCTCCTGCAACACACGCTCGGTGCAGTGGGGGAAGGCGTCTAGAACGGAGGGGCACTGAGGGCAGAAGGGCAAGGACGTGGCCGGAAAATGGGGACGTAGAGAAGTCTCAGAGGGAAAAAGAGCTGTCAGTCTTTGCCCCAGGCACCACGAGCTGTGCACTGGCTGTCAACGACCAGAGCCTGCCTGCTCCCTTGGGCCCAGGCAATGCAAAGGGCAGGGCCCCGGCCTCCTCCACCAGGGCTGGCAAGCTCCTAACTTTGCCGGTGAGCACACAAGTGCCCACACACGTGCACGCATGTGTGCAGACAGGGCCAGGAGAGCCGTTCCATGCCAAACCATCCTCCTCGCAGACCTTTCTGCACGTTTTCCTTCCGGGATGCCATTTCCCTGCTTCTCTCAGCTAAGAGCAAACAGTCATTATTTTTGTTCTGTAGAAGAGCCTCCTACGGGCTCCGTGATTCTCACGTGCAATGGAGAAGACACAGTGGGTGCCCAGACTGCAGACAGCCACATGAGCTGTGTGACAGAGATAACTATGAATGTCCTCTCATAGCAGCTCAAGAAGGAAAAGCCTGGTTTTGTGGGACCTAAGGTCATCCACGATGTGCCAAAGGTGTTCAAGGTGGGAGCTGTACCTTAGGTATACCGAGGGACGAGAGGGAAGCTGCAAAGCAAACAGACTTCAAGGTCCATCATAAATGCATTAGCATACTGGGGGGCCATATGCATGCCCATGACGGTGCCATTCGTCTGCAAGAGCTGCATGGGTAGACAAAGCGGGAGAGCGCAGTGGGGGCAGCAGCAGCGCCCTCGTCACAGGTCGTGTTCTTCACAGCTTGCAATCCGCCCTCGGGGTGCCGGCACAGAGAGGTGACCCCGGGGTAGCGCACATGGCGTTCGCTGGACACTTGTCAATGGAGCCCAGGTCCTTTAAGAACCGCGCGGCGGCGTCAAGTCATTGGCAGCTCCGGGGGCACGTGGGAATAGGACGGAGCCAGCAACTCTGGCCAGGATGGTGCCAACGCCAGAGACAACAGAGCGTCAGGCTGCCAGGTCTGTGGGTCTTGAGTAATAAGTAAAAGTTGCTGGGCCTATATATCTATATGCACATACACACATATGTGCATGTAGGCCTTGCAACTTTTACTTATTACCCAAGACCTATATTTTATATATATGCCTAGCAACTTTTACTTGCATACGAGTAAAATTATATATATTGTGTGTATACATGCATATGCATGTGTGTGTATACACATATGTATACATGAGTATATATGTATACGTACACACACACACACACACACACACACACCAGACAGACAGACAGACAGACAGACAGACAGACAGACAGAAAGACAGACAGACAGACAGACAGACAGACAGACAGACAGACTGACTATCTCCCTCTGTTTTATTTAGTCTATGAGGTGCAAATCTACGCTGCCCTCTGCCTTCTATAGATGAGCAGGGCCAACTGCCCATCTCTGCTCATGGGTGTTACCCTTTGCCCAGCACTCCCCATTTGTCTGGCATTTCACTTGCTTCGTCTTCTCCTGACCCTGCATCACGAGCTCCGTGGGCAGGACACTGCAGTGCCCGGTGCTCTGAACTGTATCACAGCCTCGAACAATAACCATATCACTAGCTCCACGAGCGTCTCACTCTGAAGGCAACTGCAGACAAACGCAGCTGGAGCGCTCTGCCCAAGTCTTCAACTCCCTAGTCACAACCCCTGCAAAGTGGTAGCAGCAAAAGCCCAGTTGTGCAGTTTAAATTCAGATCTTCCAAAGGGTGGAGAAAAGACTCCCGGGCTCTATGCATCCCGGGCTCATGTGGAGGAGCAGGCAGGGTCATCTGCTACGAACTATTTTCCACCTCGCTGTGCTGAAAAGGCCAGATGCCCCTCCTGCCAGCTCCTTCCCCAGTAAAAGCATGCCCATCCCACCGAAGAGGGAGCCGGCCGTGGGCGTTCCAGGGCACCAGCATTGTTGTTTGGGGATCTTCCCTCTCACTCTTGGAAGACAGGGAAGCACTACCACCCCCATGTATAAAGAGGGGAACCGTGGCCAAGAGACCACCTGGCTTGCACAGGTTCTGCTGGTCTCCTCGTACCTGGCTACTGCTCACGCCACTGGACACCTCTCCCTCTCCCGCAAGCCTGGTGACAAGGTACAAGCCAAGAGCTCCGGATGAATTCTGTGATCTAGTTTTCACTGCCGCCAACCCCTCCTCGCTCCAGGTTTTCGTTATTCAGTACCTGAGCCCACAGTTTACACAAACCACGCAATCTGCTTAAGCCTTTGTTTGAAAACAGATTTTCCTTTTTTATCATAGACAAATGCAAAGAAAATTCCCGTCAGTGAGTGCCCTGCCTCTCAGCTTCTCAGAGCACTTGGAGACTGTACGTAAGCAAACACTAATATATTTATACACTCAAGTATATAGCTAACTTTGACAAAAGTGGGCGATGATTATGACATTCTAGTAATTCAGTAATTAAGTGGACAGAAGCAGACCATGTTTAAGACACAGTCCTTACATGGCATACATGTAAAAGCTTCTTAAAAGCTGAAGAGCACAGCACCTGGATAATGCCACATTATACAGCAGGCAAGGATTAAACACCAACACTGCTCTTCACTAGCCAGCAAAGTCCTCCTAAAGCAGGAGAAAGAGACTGGGAAATTGCGATGACAATGAAAGTCAAACCAGCTGAATTCCAATACCGACTGCAAAAGCTGAAGTGTGACCTGCAAACCCATGTGTGAACTGTGGCAATTTAATCCAGCAGAGAAAGAAACATAGATTAAGGCTCCTTGATCTGTCAGATACAGTTTCTAGATAACCCAGGAAATGTGCACTGCATAAAATCAGAGAAAGATAAGGAAGGGGGCACCCAGGTGTCTCTTTAGCTGGACTCTTGAAGCTGTTAGCGTGACACCTTGATCACACAAGGCAGAACATGCATTTCAAAGTGAAGCTCAGAATGTAAAGCACCTTCCTTCCTCCCCGCAAACCACCGGAGGGATAGCAAGTTTGGTCACTGAAAGAAATGGTGGCAAAGGGTACTGAGGCAGCACGGCCTTGCAGAGCTGAACCGGGACCCTCGGTGCTGGCATACTCTGCAGACAGGAGACCAATTCCACCTACCTTCTAACACTGTTAATTTGGCACTTGTGTTTATCTCCCCAACACTGTTGGTCGCCGTGCACTCGTAGATGGCTTCATCTCGGTGAACACGTAGCGGCTGAATCCGGAGAACCGATCCCGATCCATCATCAAATTCAATAACCTTGGTGTGGAAAAGAAAACAGTTCTTCATTGACACTCACTGTAACAGAGACAGAAAGTCAAAGCAAGCTGGGGCTAAAACCCACCTGTCCGGCCTGGGCAGTGAAACCCCACCTGACAGAACAGGGGTTTCACACACAGAGAAACAAGAAAAAGCAGACTTAGGAACGTATCTGCCCTCTGAAGAGCCCCAGTGATGTTCTTTATGAATCAATAAACCTTGATGAAGTATCAGCCTGCTAATAAAGATGTGGATCTTCTGACTTAAGCCATATTTGCTCTAATGGCTTTACTAATCGCACTGATGGCAATTTAGTGCCAACTTTCACCTTGATCAAATTTAAGAGCAGGCCTCTAAGCGCCCGTGGATTACAACGGAGCCATTAACTAATTAAGAGCGCTGTCTGTTGCTGCTAACGATAACAGAAGCCGAGGGTGCTTAGCACCTTTCAGGACCAGGTCCTCCAGAACGGCCGTGCTACCAACAATGACACCACCGCAGCGCCTCCTCCAGCGTAAAACACAAAGTCCTGCAGCAAATCACTGTCTTCCCATCCTGCTAAGGTGGAGGCAGCATTAATCTAACTCCTTCCCGTGGACGAGAAGGGACCTAAGCTAGTCACCACTGGCACACTATAAGGGAGCTTAATGGCAGACGTGCGAATGGCCAGAGTCAATACCCACTGCATCCCGCTCGATTTCCAAGCAAAGCAAGAGCTGGAACGACTAAGGCAAGGTGGGCAGCAGGACTGGGCCTCGCCTCCTCCGCGCTGCATGGCCTCGTTGGGAGACACAGGGAAGCAGCTCCATTATTTGGGGGTCTCAAAAAGCCCATGTCAAGTCCAGGCAGTGAGCGACCTCCCCTCACTCTTGCATGCGGCGCTGCATGTCGTGTTGCACTAGGCACACGCGGGGAGGAAGGAACGACTGCCACCCGCCCTCGCAGAAACCACTGGAGGCAGAAGTGGGGGCCAACAGGAAAGACAAAAGGGCAAATCTGAAAGATAGTATCACAAGCAATCTCTTATGCCCAAAGTGAACAACCCAGAAAAGCCAATTCAGGTGCCAGAGAGTAGCAGATGAGATGGGGAAAAGGGAATAAAAATTTATTTAAAATGTTTTTTTTTTTTTTAAAAAAAAGATCAGGTTCATATGGCTGGGGTCATCTGACCCCAGCGCTCTTTCCTGCCCGGAGCAGAGGGTCGGACTTGATGATCTGTTGAGATCCCTGCCAACCCTAGCATCTATGAATCTATGAACTTGAATGAAATATTTTTTTCTTTTCAAAAATAAATCCATTTAAAATTAAATTTAAAATGATGACAACATACATTAAAGTCTAAGTTTAATCTACAGAAATTGTGTAATTAAAAGGTTAAGTCCTATATTTTTGGTGTCAAAGTTTTAAACAAAGTTGACCCACTGCAGGGGTGGAAGTCACGAGCGAAACCAGAGCTCGCTCCAGTGATGCATCAACTTTTGACTGCAGCGGCCTTTCTCCCGAGTACACAGAGTACATGCCCCTCATTCAAGTCCATTCACAGTCGATTCAGGTCGAGTATTAGTTAATGAATAGTTAAAAAACTGGTAATGAGTTTCACGTTCTTGGCGATGACAAACAACATGAAGGCTTCTCATGCAGGCCACGAATAAAAGCTAGGTGCGAGAGGATGAGTTCTACCAGCTCCAAAGCCCTGCACGACGTGGGAAACAGGAACCATCCCTTCGATTTGCTCACTATTTCCTCTGTTTAATAAATCGATTTTCAATGCAAAACATGTTTTGATAAACATCTTTTCTTACAGATGTGGCACATAAGGTGGTTTTATTTAGCTATTATTTTTAAATGTTTTTGTGCATTTTAATTACATTTTAATTTCCGACTTGACACAAGTCACAAGGAAAGAAAGAAATTAACAATCAATCATACAGCAAAAAAATGCTTTATCCACCATATTCTAATCTAATGAACATGAAAAATTAAGACTGAATAAATGCCTATTGCCCTATGCAGCTCCTTAAAGCAACAGGCACACAGAGCTAGCCTATCCCTCCTCGTTAGCAAAAGCAGCAACATGTTCAGCGTAAAGGCCAGAGTTGGGACACATCTGTGCGGGAACCAGACTGTGCCCAACACTGCTGCCCTCCGGCTCGAAGTGCTCAAGAGGCTCTGCCCTAAACAAGATTCAGGGCAGTCCCATCTGTGCCACTCTTTGGGCAGGCTGATAAGACTGATTGTGTGACATGGCTAATTAGCTGGCCTGGTCACAATGCCATCCAGATGTGTCTGCCTTGCTTCTGGCTTAGGAGACAGCGCAATGTGCTTGTGGGCTCCCTGGCTGGACCCGGAAAGCTTCGGCGCAGATGTGGCTTTAGCTGCAAATCAGCCTCTGGTTAGGAATGCAAAACAAGATTGACGTTGATTATTTAAATCACCGTTTCCTGCTGGCCGATTTAAATCATGATTAAAATCAGGGATTAAATCAATAGTCCCTCATCACGGAAGTCACCCCAGATCCAGCAAGAAGAGCAAAAGCATCAGAAGAGGAAAGGTTTGAGGAAAGGGGTTGGGAAAAAGGGTCAGGTTCCCAGGGACGGAGGGACAGGGCTGGTGCTCCACAACAGGAGCCGGGGCAGGGCTGGGGAAGGCACTCAAACCCCTGTCGCATGACAAACATTAACCAAATGGAGCACGTTGTAACCGCCCCCCACTCAAACCACGGTCCCTTCCCTGCAAGCATTTCAGAGCTGGCAACCCTGCCTGCCCTCCCTCACCAAGTTCAGCTCTCCAGGGAAACCCGATTCTCCCCACACAATGCCTCCGTCCTACTGCTAACTATTGAGACCCTGGGCTAGCAGGAGCATCTCGTGGCAGGGCACTGGGCTCAGCCGGGGCAGGAGCAGAGCAGACCTCAGCCCACCTGCACCAGTGCTACCCGTTATGCCCCACTTGCTCCGTCTCTGGCCCTGGGGTGCCCAGGGCTGAACTGCGCTCCAACCCAGGACGGGAACTCGGTGCATCTGGCCAAAAAACGGGCTTACCCAGGGCCGTGTTTGCTGCAAGGCTGGAGCTGCTGAAGGAAGGAAACCCTTTCCCTTGCCCTCCCACGCGGTGACTGAAGACACCCGAGACCGTAACACTTGTCACCATGCGGCCAAGCCCGGCCGGCTTCAGAGCAGGCTCCTGATAGCTGCAGTTACCTCAAAGCGCTGGGAGCTGACCTTCTTCCCTTTCTTCATCCATGTGATGCGAGGTTTGGGCTCTCCAGTTGCCTGGCACACAAACGAGGCTACGCCTCCAGAAATCCCAATCTGATCTTCGGGAGCTTTCATAAAGGTTGGCTTGCCTGAAAGACAACCACAGTGCAAGGTGAGGACAGAGAAGCAGTGGGTCTGTAAGAGCACGGGCACCAAGCTCTCAACGCACAGATCAACAGTGTTTCTATCACAACCGGCATTAACGAGAGCAGTCAGATGCACTGCGAACAGGCGCACCAGGAACACGCGGGCTTTCCTCTTCCCCACCGAGCCGCTTGGGAGGGCAAGGCAGGCTGCCCTGCCCAGCACCAACTCGCACGGGCCACAAAGTGGAAACGATTTTTACCCTCCAGGTCAATTTAAAATGATTTTTGTTCTCTAAGTTGCATTATTTTGTAAGTGAAACACTTCCAAGTTTATCCTGTGTTCACGTCATTGCATGCTACAGAACAGCGCAGAAAACCAAGCCTACAAACAGGAGACAGCACAGCGGCACGAACTGCCAGGCCGGGAACTTTTAGACTTTAACCGGCATACTAATGGCTGTTCTTGTTAACGCACAATTATGAGCCCGTTTCATGTCAGGCTTGGGTCTCCGCACGTCTCCACGCATCGCAGGACTCGCACAGCCTGGCGCGCGTTTGGGAAGAGACCAAGAACTAAAATTGGAAGTCGGCACAGAAACCAAAGTGACATTCAGGCCTGAGTGACTCAGCAAAAATGGAAAAATAATGTACCGGCTTGGTGATCAATACAGGAAGTTTCATGAAATATGGCTTTGTTTTCTGGACTGATATGACTAAGCTGCAGGTCGATATAATTAGTTATCTGGTTTGAACATAATGTCCATATTTTTTTTAGACAGATACTGTCTTCCAGGATATTGCAGCACTTCGCTGGGTAGGGGTTTGTGCAAGATGCATACTGCTTTGCTCGGCTGGGACAGCTTGGGGCACACGTGCTCTTATTTCTCAAAACATTATGACTTTACGTACACATGCGCACACGCGCGCACATGCATATTAAAACCAGCCCGTGATCATCACTCCAAGTATGAGGCACTGGCGAGATCTTAGCCAAAACCCTGCATCCAACTCCGGGTTACCCCGCGCTCAGGACAGACACGGGAGCAGAGATCCTGGCCCCAGAGGGAGGCGAAGCCGGCTTGGCTTGCGTGGCCTTGCCAAACCAGCACCGAGAGGGGACGCGAGGGCTCTCCGGGAGCGCCAGGGTGAACGCTGGCACAAAAACAGACCAGCACAAACTAGCCATGAATAAATTTAGGCTGGAAATTGCAGGTTTCTAAGTAACGGAGGAACGAGGTTCGGGAGCCAGGAACCGCCTCCCGACAGCAGCAGCGGAGGGGAAAGACGGCACTCTGATCATGAGCGAGAGGACAGCGGGGCCCCGGAGTCCGACCCCACCAGCCCCTTCCCAGCCAGTGTGCGAGGCCCAGCAACAGCCGGAGGGGCAGGAACCGCTCCACTACAGCGCTCAGGGCGACCGGGACGCACACGGCTCCATGAGACTCACAATTGACAGAGCAAGCGTGGCCTGCCACTGTCGTCATCTTCTGCATGGCCGCTGTGTCCAAAGGGCCTCCCTGGGAGCCTGTGCTGTTCAGACAAACAGGTCCCTCCACCCCGTCCCTCCACAAGCTCTCGATCGGAAAGAAGCAGGCCGAGCCTGGCCACGGAAAACAGACGTAGAGCAGAGTCGAGGAAGAGGAGAAGATACAAGCACCCACCAGTCTCTGCACATCACTCAGCCACCGTGGTTCTCCGAGAAACAGGACACGCTGTCCCCCAGAAAGCTCACGCCGAGTGTGGGCACCTCGTGCCATCCTACGGCAGCGCTTAAATGAATGTGCTGAACGGGTCTCCGAGCACCCATTCGGCAAAACCAATCTCTGAAAACTTGACAAGGGCCGACGTGCAGACTGAGTGGCAGAGACGCTGTCCTGACATTAACACCAAGTAATTATCAGTTGTGGTTGCTTAGCTTACATTGATTTCACATAGTGAAATGTCTCTAATCACATCTATTACCGCGTAGTTTATATTTACATATATCTGTATTTATTCACCCCGCTCATCTCTCCCAGCGACACTTTGATTTACTGCTCATGCCGGTGGTGATTGCGGTGTGATTGACTGTTTTGCAATGCAGTGAGCTGAGTTGATTTGTCTGTATTGGATTTCTGCAGTTGATTTGTTCTTTTTGATTTTCTGTTATTTACTTTGTGATGCAAGTAAACTAGTGTAAATTTATTAAACGGCAAATACAGCAGAGTCCAAAACTTCTCTCCTTGAAGAGTACAGTGCAATTATGTATTGCATTGTACACCTCCTCCCCAGCCAGCATGCACCGAGGACTTATTTTATTTTTGTATGTTTAAAAAAATCAATACTTTTAAAGGAAGAACAGAAGGAAATTGGGCTCTCTCAGGTAGTAAAACCTGGAAAACTCACTGCCTTGATCAGCTTGCATTTACAATGTTGTAATGAATCTTTCCCCCTACACATTTCATTGAGCAACACCAACCTCTGGCAACCCTCCACATCCACAAGGAAGGGTCCCAGATGCATTTCTTTATGTAAAACACATTCCCAGAGACTTGTTTTTGGGAATGTGACTGCACATTGTGCTCAAACAGAAATGTAGATTTGTTAATAAGGAAGAAAAGTAAAGTTTTGAAAGCCAGGAAACCATCAGTTAAGATTGTGCAAACCAACCCCAGCCCCTGTGTCCTGGCTCCGAGTATGTCAGTTATTATTACATACTGATGGATGACTCAAAACATACAGCAATGACAGCCAATGGAAACGCACTTGTGCGCATGGCAAAGTGAGATATTAAGCAGTGGGTCTGTAGGAACACGACATGAATTACACGGACTGTGAAATGGACCCACTTGATCTGTTTCTGCAGGGAGGAGATTTAGGCAAGTCTTGGAGGGAGGCAAAAACTAGCAGAGAAGAGCCAGGCAAAGGTCCAAGCAGCACATTTCAACCCACTTTGAATGTGCAACCCTTAGGAGTGCAAGAAACAGCAGGAAAAAGATACAACCTGCAAATACTTAGCATACAATTTTTTTAACCGAAAGATTCCCTTTTTTCCTTCAAATTCAAGTGGCCGTGGTCCCTGTGAAGGATTATGTACCTGCCAAGTCCGAAGTGTTTACAACCAAGTCATTTATTATTTGAGAAAACTGCAAATAATTTTTTTCTGGTTTTTCTATTAAAACATTTGCTCACATGCTCTCTCCAAGGCTCTGGGCCCAGGAATAACTGAACCAATTTTATTCAGAGTTTCTCAAAAAGATTTACCTTTGGAACAAGAGCGAGCCGGGGAAACCCGTGTCCAAGAGACAAGCTTCTGGGAAAGCGCTGAGCGACTGAAGGCAGGGCAGAGCATGGCTGGCTGGGCCCGGGCCCACTTCAGAGCGATCCCATTTCCCGATCGCTATCCGTCTTTCCAGCAGGCTGATTACTCGAAGCGGCAGACCCCAGGACCGTGCCGGGTGTGCGCCCATAAAGAGACTCCTCTTCTGCTCCTCCAGCAACGGTCTTTCCCGGGGACGGGGGTGCAGCGCCTCTCACAGCTCATGTTGCTCAACAGTTCAATTTACTCATCGCCTTGTGCAACAACTTTCATGTCTTGGGCCCAAACCATCCGGGCTTCATCTTTCCTTGCAAGTGAATTACTCTAGTGCGCTGACAAGGGGAAACCACCTGTGCAGCCTTTCCGAGATGGGGAGAGCGCAAAAGATAACATTTTTCCACTATAAAAAATAAGAATACTCTTGCAGTACTAGAGACAGGGCTCTGCCGGAAATGACTTGGGGCAGAAAGATGACATTCTGCTTGGAAAAGCCCCAAAGCAGAGCTCCTCCCCATCCCAAAAGAAAGCACTTTGTTTTCAGGCAAGTGTGGAGGAAAACATTCACTCCCGGAGCACACAGACCTCCAGCCAAGCCTGCGACGCGTAAGCCCAAGGAAGGATTTGCCACACAGGCTGCGCGAAACTTGGTTTCACAGCTGTGCAAGCGTCAACTCCAACCGACGGGTGCCGGTCGGGGAGGCCAGCTGGAAGTGAGCAGCGGGGCCGCACCAAACATCGGAGGCCGAGGAAGGGTGGGCAGGTTGCAGCAACCCCACACGGTCACATATCAAAACAGGGAGAAAGCCGGCTGGGGGCGGATGAGCACGCTGGGAAACACCTTCATCCCCAGGACTCTCCTGCAGATTTTGGAAGGGATACGAAGGTAAGCCTACATCTACATCTCACCATCACTCTGCGCTGGATCTTGCATGAGGAGCAGCATCAACCAGCAGCCCGTACCCATCGCTACGGCTGCAGGATGCAGGTGTCGCCGTGGGCGTAGTCTTTCTGGACTTCAGCAAGGCCTTTGACACCGTCTCCTACCCCATCCTCATTAAAAAACTAGGCAACTGTGGCATTGATGCCTACAGTCAGATGGATTGCAGATTGGCTCAAGGGTCATACTCAGAGGATGGTGGTGGACGGGTCATATTCAACCTGGGGGGAAGAAGGCAGCGGAGTCCCCCAGGGCTCGGTCCTTGGACCTGCGCTGTTCAATTTCTTCATCAGCGATTTGGACGACGGGGTGAAAAACAACCTGTTTAAATTCGGTGATGATACCAAAATTTGGGGTGAGGTGAGCATGCTAGTAGGGAGGGAAAGATTGCAGCAAGATCTGG